GAACGCGCCGCCAGGGGTGTATCCCACGAGCCCTCGACATATTTTCCGAGGGAAGGCATAGCAGGAGCCATCGGCTCAGCTGCCTTTCTCGGTCTAGAGTAGGGGCCGCCCTCCATCATGTCGACCTCCACAGGGGGGGGAGCAGGGGGCAGCGCTATCTCAAGTCGGTTGGCGGCTCTCTCAATGAGTTCGGGAAAGTCCGCACGCAGAGAGGCCGCTGCGAAGGACAGGGCTGCTGACGTAACAGAGCCCATGTCGTCATCGCACAAGGAGCCTTCAGATCTCACACTCCCCAAAGGGAAGGGGGTCTTGAAGGTTGGCGCCAGAGGGTCGGATTGTTCCATTGGAACATCCATCTCTGCGTCTCTCTCCTTGTCATCCCCTGAGTCAGCACTGTCCGTCGACGCCTCTGAAGCAGGGGCGAGAAGGGACAGTACATCCTCTAGGGGGATATCCTCCCTAAAGAACGCCCAACGCTGCTTCCTCACCTTCATAGGAAGGAGGGCGCAGGAGGCGCAATTAGGGGGATTGCCGGTCCCTTCCTTGGCATGCTGCGGCCCCAAACACACGAAACAAAGGTCGTGGGGGTCCGCAGATGCCATGGAGGAGCATCGGCACTGAGCCCTGAAAAGGGCTTTTGGGGGTGGAAAATCTCCTGGCGTGCTCATTTTAGAAGACGTCGATGGCTGGCTCATCGACGGCGATTTCTTCCTGAGTCTTCTCTTCTCTTCTTGGCTTCTTCAGTCTAGTCGTCCAGCCGCTGAAGATAATGGGAGGCTGATTGAGGGGAGGCGTCCCCTCTTATAGGGACACCTGTGCTCCCATTGGCTGCAGGTGTGTGCATAATTTTGCTTCAGGCTGTTGCTGCCTTAGGGCAGAGGGTAAACCACTAGGAGCAGAGCTCCCCTATGGGGCGGAGCTCCACGATATAGAACCTTTATTTTAAGATACACTATTATAAAGAAATTATTTATTAAGCCAAATGTTATCGTGTGAAAAATGTAATGGCATAGCTTCATACAGTAACTAATAAAGACCTTCTCAGTTATGTTATGTACTTACCAAAACTCCCGCCAAGAAGCACAATAGCTGCGGTTCTAAACCATTGTTGACTTTTGTTGTTATGGATACAAACAAACAAGTCCAGCAACAACATACCTAGAAATAGAATTACAAGACAGGAGAGACCACTTTTAGCATTAAGCCATTTTAGCACCCAAGTGGCCCTGAATGTATTTTTGTACTATAATTTTTTTTACTGGGAATCAGTCATATTGAGACGCAGGTGCCTTATTTAGAAACGTTTGATATGCGCGAAATATTTCCCAAAACATAAGTGCTCCAGTTTTCACGCAAAGGGCATTTATAAAAACTGAACTTAATGTGCTCATCCTCCAGCAAACGTTAGACCATGCTTGTGCACAGTTTCTAGTGGTTGAAGTAGGTATTTTGCTTTGCAAGAAGGCAAAAGTAGCCTAATAGGAGTAGCCTTGTGCAAATGGAGAATATATGATGAAACTTATAACAACAAAAACTGGTAGCTAAGTATAATAACAAGATGCAATAATTTGCCCTCACTACAGATGACTAGTAAAGGACTAGTAAAGGCCCAGCGCATTATATATTTTTTTATATAGGATATATACAGTACCAGTCAAAAGTTTGGACATACCTACTCATTCAAGGGTGTTTCTTTATTTTTACTATTTTCTACATTGTAGAATAATAGTGAAGATATCAAAACTATGAAATAATACATATGGAATCATGTAGTAACCAAAAAAAGTGTTAAACAAATTTAAATATATTTTATATTTGAGAATCTTCAAAGTAGCCACCCTTTGCCTTGATGACAGCTTTGCACACTCTTGGCATTCTCTCAACCAGCTTCATGAGGTAGTCACCTGGAATGCATTTCAATTAACAGGTGTGCCTTATTAAAAGTTACTTTGTGGAATATCTTTCCTTCTTAATGCGTTTGAGCCAATCAGTTGTGTTGTGACAAGGTAGGGGTGGTATACAGAAGATAGCCCTACAGTGGCTTGCGAAAGTATTCACCCCCATTGGTATTTTTCCTATTTTGTTGCCTTACAACCTGGAAATAAAATAGATTTTTGGGGGGTTTGTATCATTTGATTTACACAACATGCCTACCACTTTGAAGATGCAAAATATTTTGTTTTTGTGAAACAAACAACAAATAAGACAAAAGAACTGATTCAGCGTGCATAACTATTCACCCCCCCCCCCCCCCCAAAATCAATACTTTGTAGAGCCACCTTTTGCAGCAATTACAGTTGCAAGTCTCTTGGGGTATGTCTCTATAAGCTTGGCACATCTAGCCACTGGGATTTTTGCCCATTCTTCAAGGCAAAACTGCTCCAGCTCCTTCAAGTTGGATGGGTTCCGCTGGTGTACAGCAATCTTTAAGTCATACCACAGATTCTCAATTGGATTGGAGGTCTGGGCTTTGACTAGGCCATTCCAAGACATTTAAATATTTCCCCTTAAACCACTCGAGTGTTGCTTTAGCAGTATGCTTAGGGTCACTGTCCTGCTGGAAGGTGAACCGCCATCCCAGTCTCAAATCTCTGGAAGACTGAAACAGGTTTCCCTCAAGAATTTCCCTGTATTTAGCGGCATCCATCATTCCATCAATTCTGACCAGTTTCCCAGTCCCTGCCGATGAATAACATCCCCACAGCATGATGCTGCCACCTCCATGCTTCACTGGATGGTGTTCTCGGGGTGATGAGAGGTGTTGGGTTTGCGCCAGACATAGCGTTTTCCTTGATGGCCAAAAAGCTCAATTTTAGTCTCATCTGACCAGAGTACCTTCTTCCATATGTTTGGGGAGTCTCCCACATGCCTTTTGGCGAACACCAAACGTGTTTGCTTATTTTTTTCTTTAATCAATGGCTTTTTTCTGGCCACTCTTCCGTAAAGCTCAGCTCTGTGGAGTGTACGCCTTAAAGTGGTCCTATGGACAGATACTCCAATCTCTACTGTGAAGCTTTGCAGCTCCTTCAGGGTTATCTTTGGTCTCTTTGTTGCCTCTCTGATTAATGCCCTCCTTGCCTGGTCCGTGAGTTTTGGTGGGCGGCCCTCTCTTGGCAGGTTTGTTGTGGTGCCATATTGTTTCCATTTTTTTATAATGGATTTAATGGTGCTCCGTGGGATGTTCAAAGTTCCTGATATTTTTTTATAACCCAACCCTGATCTGTACTTCTCCACAACTTTGTCCCTGACCTGTTTGGAGAGCTCCTTGGTCTTCATGGTGTCGCTTGCTTGGTGGTGCCCCTTGCTTAGTGGTGTTGCAGACTCTGGGGCCTTTCAGAACAGGTGTATATATACTGAGATCATGTGACAGATCATGTGACACTTAGATTGCACACAGGTGGACTTTATTTAACTAATTATGTGACTTCTTAAGGTAATTGGTTGCACCAGATCTTATTTAGGGGCTTCATAGCAAAGGGGGTGAATACATATGCACACACCACTTTTCCGTTAATTATTTTATATAAAAAAATGTAACAAGTTATTTTTTTCATTTCACTATTTTGTGTATGTCCATTACATGAAATCCAAATAAAAATCAATTTAAATTACAAAATAGGAAAAACGCCAAGGGGGATTAATACTTTTGCAAGGCACTGTATTTGGTAAAAGACCAAGTCCATATTATGTCAAGAACAGCTCAAATAAGCAAAGAGAAATGACAGTCCATCATTACTTTAAGACATGAAGGTCAGTCAATCTGGAACATTTCAAGAACTTTGAAAGTTTCTTCAAGTGCAGTCGCAAAAACCATAAAGCGCTATGATGAAACTGGCTCTCATGAGGACCGCCACAGGAAAGGAAGACCCAGAGTTACCTCTGCTGCAGAGGATAAGTTCATTAGAGTTACCAGCCTCAGAAATTGCAGCCCAAAAAAATGAGTTCAAGTAACAGACACATCTCAACATCAACTGTTCAGGGGAGACTACGTGAATCAGGCTTTCATGGTCGAATTGCTGCAAAGAAACCACTACTAAAGGACACCAATAAGAAGAAGAGACCTGCTTGGGCCAAGAAACACGAGCAGTGGACATCAGACAGGTGGAAATCTGTCCTTTGGTCTGATGAGTCCAAATTTGAGATTTTTGGTTCCAACCGCTGTGTCTTTGTGAGACGCAGAGTAGGTGAACGGATGATCTCTGCATGTGTAGTTCCCACCGTGAAGCATGGAGGAGGAGGTGTGATGGTGCTTTGCTGGTGACACTCAGTGATCTATTTAGAATTCAAGGCACACTTAACCAGCATGGCTACCACAGCATTCTGCAGCGATACGCCATCCCATCTGGTTTGCACTTAGTGGGACTATCATTTGTTTTTCAACAGGACAATGACCCAACACACCTCCGAGCTGTATAAGGGCTATTTGACCAAGAAGGAGAGTGATGGAGTGCTGCATCAGATGACCTGGCCTCCACAATCACCCGACCTCAACCTAATTGAAATGGTTTGGGATGAGTTGGACCGCAGAGTGAAGGAAAAGCAGCCAACAAGTGCTCAGCATATGTGGGAACTCCTTCAAGTCTAATGGAAAAGCATTCCAGGTGAAGCTGGTTGAGAGAATACCAAGAGTGTGCAACGCTATCATTAAGGCAAAGGATGGCTACTTTGAAGAATCTCAAAAATAAAATATATTTTGATTTGTGTAACACTTTTTTGGTTACTACATGATTCCATTTGTGTTATTTCATAGTTTTGATGTCTTCACTATTATTCAACAATGTAGAAAATAGTAAAAATAAAGAAAAACCCTTTTAATGAGTAGGTATGTCCAAACCTTTGACTGGTACTGTATATATATATATAATTATTGTATTTTTTGTTAAAGTATCAGTGTTTACCCCACCCAATAGGTGGCGGCAATACACCTTTTTGGATGTAGTCTGTACCTTAACGAAGAAGAAACGCATGGACGATAATCTCAAGTTATATCTCTCTTCAAAATGTCGAAACCACGGATGTTGAATGTGTTTATAGCTAAGCGATTAATATCTGCAGCCGTTAACATATTTGGGATTGAGGAAAAGTGGATAGCCCAGTACCAGCAGCAACTAGCAGCAGTGACTGTTGAGATAATGGCAGCAGTGGAAAAGACGATAGAACAAGAGCTCTCCCGTTCAAAGGAGGAGAATGAACGTCTACGGAGGCTTCTTCTGGAGTTGGGAGCAGGTTCGTAGTTAGGTATTGAAAGAGAGAGGGGGGGTTTACACCGGTAACAAATAACCACCAGAGAGGGGCAGCTAGCTTAGCCCATAGCATGGCTAGAATTATCTGCTTTTAGCAACGCTGGTGTATTTCAGGGGAGAACGACTGCCCCTTCTCATTGAAGCCACTGCACGAACTTCAAGGCCGCCCGCGGTACTGCCGGCATTGTTTGCAGAAAACAGGATCACCCATTATAGTGAATAGGAAAATGCCAATCTTCGTGTAAATAAATACACATTTCGAAAACAATCACGGTACCAATAAATGCTTATATTACTCCAGATGTACACAAGTTATAAGGATAATTTAGTAGCTAATGGCAGCCTGCAGTACCCCGGTTGGCCTACAGCTTGACATACTCAATGAGAGGGCGCTAGCCTGTAACGTCACTTCCTGGAGGAGCTAAAACAGCGCATGTTATTGGCCCGTTTAAAACAACTCGGAAAAATACGAGTTCAAATCATGACGTCAGTGATCTTCAGGTCGGAAAAGCGGAGCTCTAGAAATAGCCGGAGTTGGATGACGGTAAAAAACGCGCTTTTGCCCAGTCTGAGCTCGGTTTTTCCCGAGTTCCCAGTTGTTTTGAACGCTCGGAAGTCGGGAGATTTCCGAGTTCCTAGTTTTAAACGTGGCATTAGTCTACACACATGTCCCACATGAGAAGCCATCATAACCGATTCCTTGGCTTCAAATAGGAATGAATGGTGTCACGCGATCGATGGCTTTGTCTATTCAAATTGTAATTGGTGTATTTACACTAGTATTGCTTTCAATTGCCTTGCAAAAAAAAAAAAACAGGAAGAGTCCGCAGGAAGCCAGACGTTAAATACAATTCCATTTCAACTTACTGTGGTGGTGGGCTGGACTGTTGGTCTTTATAACGGGGGAATTTCAAACAAAATATCTAAAGGAACGTATTATTAAGCAGACTTAACTAGAATAGATTCCCACCTACTGTTGGAAATGGCTTGTTCTGTTCTGATTAGTCAAACGGCAGTGCTGGCTCAAAATGTGGCTCGGAAAACATACCTCAATGGTCCATGGCACTCTACCTCAAATTTTCCAATGATCCAAAATGCTAAATCGAGAATATTGAAAAACTAAACTGCCTTTTTTTTCCTCATGCTAGGTAGCAGAAGCCACAGCAGCCATTTTGGAATGCACATTTCATTGAACAACAAGGGGCCTGATTGGCTGACTATCCTTTGTTTTTCAACCCAACAGGCATTCCAAAATAACTACTGTGGCTTCTGCTACCTAGCATGAGGACAGAAAAGGCAGTTCGATTAAAAAATAGTAGTACTTCAATGTTCTCGAAGTAGCATTTTGGATAATGGGATAATCAGGAGTACAGTGCCATATCCCATTCCTAGATTGAGGTACGTTTTCCAAGCAATATCTTGTGCCAGCTTCGCCATGTGATTAATCAAAACAGAAGGCATTTCCAACCTTACAGGAGAGCAGAGCTGTAATGTTGGAATCTATTCTAGCAACCCATAGCTTAGCCACATTATCTGACTATCCGTTCATGTTATAGTGAAGGAGGCCTGTTTTCTCTTTCTGCTAAACTTTTACCAGGTAAGTTGTCTGAGAACACATTCTCATTTACAGCAACAACCTGGGGAATAGTTGAAGGGGAGATGAATGAGCCAATTGGAGGCTGGGGATAATTAGGTGGCCATGATGGTATGAGGGCTAGATTGTGAATTTAGCCAGGACACCGGGGTTAACACCCCTACTCTTAGAATAAGTGCCACGGGATCTTTAGTGAACACAGAGAGTCAGGACACACATTCAACGTCCCAGCCGAAAGACGACACCCTACACAGGGCAATGTCCCCTATAATTGCCCTGGGGCAATGTCCCCTATCATTGCCCTGGGGCAATGTCCCCTATAATTGCCCTGGGGCATTGGGATAAATATATTTATTTTAGACCAGAGGAAATAGTGCCTCCTACTGGCCCTCCAACTCCACTTCCAGCAGCATCTAGTCTCCCATCCAGGGACCGACCAGGACCAACCCTGTTTAACTTGAGTGGCAAGCCAGCAGTGGGATGCAGGGTGGTATGCTGCTGGCCAACTGCATATAAGAGTAATGTGATGTAGCCTAATGTAATTAGCTATCTAACTAAGCACTCTCATCCCTTGTCGTTCCTCATTGTGGCAAAAGCAAAGAGCAGCCACCCTCCTAGCTAGATTAACTTCTATATGCTGTATGATATTCCTTTAGCCTCAGCAGAGCACAGAGACACATGAGTGTATTTGGATAAATGTGACGTATCTTAGGTTTTTCTTGATTGTCTATCTGGATAATTATTCCCTCTCCTTCTCTCCAGACCCCCAGCAGCTAACTGTCCCTGAAGAGGTTCCTCCTGAGCAGCAGCAGGAATGGAGCCCCAGTCTGGGGCAGGAGGACCCAGAGCCCACACAGATTAAAGAGGAACAGGAGGAACTCAGGACCAGTCAGGAGGAAGAGCAGCTTCACAGACTTGAGTCTGATCCCACAGATGTTGTAGAGTTCATATTTACTGCTCCTCCCTGTGTGGAAATAGACTCTGATCAGGACAGAGAGAGGGAGAGGGACTCTCTACCCACCAACACAACTGAACAGATCCAAACAGAACCTGATGGAGAGGACTACAGAGTATCAGAACTAACCAGTGACTCTCTGCTCCTCTCTGCAGTAAATCCAGACTGTTCTGCAGCTCACAGTGAAATCATTGTAAGTGTGGATGAAGACGAGAGTGAAGAAGTTCTGTCAGAGTTAAAGACCCTCAAATCAAGGAGGACACAGGCAGAGAAACGACAAAGCTCTCAAGTCTGCCCTGAGGCCAAGACAACCAGTGAGCTGAAAGAACCATTGAAGTCTCACACAACTAAGACACCATTCAAGTGTCCTGTGTGCAGTAAACGCTATAAGACACTAGGCGGTTTAAAAACACATCAGAGAATTCACTCAACTAAAAATAGTTATCACTGCAAGAAATGTGGCAAATCCTTCAACTTGTCGCAGCAGTGGAAGAAACATATGAAGAATCACACAGAGGAGGAATCACCTACATGTCATGTGTGCAGTAAAAGCTTTAAACTACCAAACCATCTGAAAACTCATATGAGATGCCACACCATAGAGAAATCCATTCAGTGTTCAACATGTGAAAAACGCTTTAAATCAGAGAAAGACCTAGAGATTCACCAGAGAATTCACACTGGAGAGAAACCGTATCAGTGTCCAACATGTAAAAAATGCTTTCAATCAACAAAATATCTGAAGAGTCATCAGAGAATTCACGCTGGAGAGAAACCGTGTCAGTGTCCGACATGTGAAAAATGCTTTAAATCAGCTAAATATCTAAAGAGTCACCAGAGAATTCACTCTGGAGTGAAACCGTATCAGTGTCCGACATGTGAAAAATGCTTTATGTTTGCAAAAGACCTAAAGAGTCACCAGAGAATTCACACTGAAGAGAAACTCTACCACTGTCCAACATGTGAAAAATGCTTCAAGTCAAAATCTGATCTTAAACACCACAAGAAAATTCACGCTGGTGAATATAACTGCAAGGATTGCAACAAGTGTTACCGGACCAAGACGGGCTTAGAAGAGCATTTGAGGACTCACACAGGGGAGAAACCATATAAGTGTTCTGTGTGTGAAAAGTGTTTTACTTCAACAACCATTCTAAGACGCCACCAGAGAACTCACAGTGGAGAGAAACCACATGGATGCACACAATGCAACAAATGCTTCCCCATCAAATCAGACCTGGTTAAACACATGAGAATTCACACAGGGGAGAAACCTTTTAGCTGCAAAGAATGTGGCAAATGTTTCAGTCATAGCATTAGTCTGAGACTGCACATGAGAACGCACACAGGGGTGAAACCATATAGCTGTAAAGAATGTGGCAAATGTTTTTCTGTTAACAGTAACCTGAGAATGCACATGAAAATTCACACAGGAGAGAAATCGTTTTGTTGCCAAGAATGTGGTAAATGTTTCCGTCATAAAATTAGCCTGAGACTGCATATGATGACTCACAGTGGTGGAGAGAATCTACATGGATGCACTCAATGCAACAAACGCTTTCCCATCAAATCACTCCTGGTTAAACACATGAAAACGCACACAGGGGAGAAATCTTATAGCTGCAAAGAATGTGCCAAATGTTTTCTTCATAACATTAGCCTGAGACTGCACATGAGAACGCACACAGGGGAGAAATCATATACCTGCAAAGCATGTGGCAAATGTTTCCAACACAATATGGTTCTGACAAGGCATATGAGAACTCACACAGGAGAGAATCCATATAAGTGTCCTCTTTGTGTCAATTCTTTTATGTCATCAAGTGGACTAAAACATAAACAGCAAATTCACCTGGGAGGGAAACCAGAGACCGACCAACCAGAGAAACCATCGTGCCTCTGCAGCAATTGTGGCAAATGCTTCCCAACTATGAAAACCCTGAGAGACCATATGAGGACCACACACGAAGAAAGAAGGCATCAGTGCTCTGTTTGTGGAGATTTTTTTATATCATTGGGTTCTCTTAAAGTTCACCAGAGAATTCACACTGGAGAGAAACCCCACCAGTGCTCTGTTTGTGGAAAATATTTTGCATTGTAGTGATGACAGACAGCTGTTGGTCAGAGCACTTCTCTGGAGCCGCTGAGCCACAGGAGCGCATTTCAATCCTATAGTAGGACTCATTGCGGCCAGCAGGTAAAACAAACAACTAAAATGAACGATTAAAACAAACAACTAAAATGAACGAGTCACTCAGAAAAACTAATCATGACTCTCAAGTCAGTAAAAATAGTTGTTCACAAAGAAGGAATCGTTTGCGAACTACACATCACTATTGCTTTGTCAGGTTATCTAAAGCTCCACCAGGGAATTCACTCTAGAGAGAAACATTGTCAGGTTATTTTTAATAAATTTGCAAACATTTCTGAAAACCTGCTTTTGCTTTGTTACTATGGGGTATTGTGTGTAGATTGATGAGGGGGAAAAACGATTTAATCCAGTTTAGAACAAGGCTGTAATGTAACAAAATGTGGAAAAAGTCAAGGGGTCTGAATACTTTCCGAATGAACTGTATATACCTCACATGCTACCCGTAATAAGACTATGTAGTTAACATTAACAAAGACTCCGTAAAGGTGATTTAACAATATGCAAGGGGCTATAGTTCAGCTGCAGTAGAAAAGCCAAGGAAAGGTCTGAACTGCTAAAGTCAGATTTAATGTCAAATGAAGGATTCACATACGAGCCATGAAGCTTAAGGTACAAAGCATTAACAAGCATTACAAGGCATTATTCTAGGCATGGTCAGAGGAGGAGAGGGAGAGAGAAGTCCTAGCCTACAAGGCCATGCCCCCAAGACTCCCTGGGGAGGAGAGAAGAAGAAGAAGAAGAGAAGGAGACAATTAAAGGGAAAGGAGAGGGGTACAGTGGGTCTTAAAGGGAAAGGAGAGGGGTACAGTGGGTCTTAAAGGGAAAGGAGAGGGGTACAGTGGGTCTTAAAGGGAAAGGAGAGGGGTACAGTGGGTCTTAAAGGGAAAGGAGAGGGGTACAGTGGGTCTTAAAGGGAAAGGAGAGGGGTACAGTGGGTCTTAAAGGGAAAGGAGAGGGGTACAGTGGGTCTTAAAGGGAAAGGAGAGGGGTACAGTGGGCCTTAACGGGAAAGGAGAGGGGTACAGTGGGCTATGGTAGCAGGTATATTTATGTGATATGTCAGGTCTTAAAGGGAAAGGTGGATACCTAGTCAATTGTACAACTGAATACATTCAACTGAAATGTGTCTTCCGCTTTTAACCCAACTCCTCTGAATCAGAGAAGTGCGTAGGGCTGCCTTAATCGACATCCAAGCTAAGACCCTTTAAGAACCATTTGACCATGAAGCTAAGACCCATTTAGAACCATTTGAGAATGAAGCTAAGACCCTTTTAGAACCATTTGACATTGACGCTAAGACCCTTTTTAGAACCATTTGACAATGAAGCTCTAAGACCCTTTTTAGAACCATTTGACAATGACGCTAAGACCCTTTTAGAACCATTTGACATTGAAGCTAAGACCCTTTTTAGAACCATTTGACATTGAAGCTAAGACCCTTTTAGAACCATTTGACATTGAAGCTAAGACCCTTTTTAGAACCATTTGACATTGAAGCTAAGACCCTTTTAGAACCATTTGACAATGAAGCTAAGACCCTTTTAGAACCATTTGACAATGAAGCTAAGAACCTTTTTAGAACCATTTCACCGTGTTTAGGTTAACAAAAAAAGGTGTTGACCAATAGCATTACTGTTGAGTCTTCAGACCTACAGGATGTTATCACAACAGAACCTCTGCTACCCAGAGGTGTGACGGAATGGGGGTTGGAGAGCAACACAGAGAAGGCTGAATTTCTGAGAAGACAAACTCTCTTACATACAGTTGACGAGACACTTTGAGGGTTGGGCCACCCTACAAACTCACCCACTCTGGATTATATGCATCAGCCTATAAAGCACGGACAGCTAATCTGCCTGCAAGGAGCTTTACCTGTGAAACAGCCTACAAGGCAGCATTCTGACTGACCAGCCTCTGAGGCTGAAATTGAATCTGATCAGCCTGTCAGGAATGGTATTATCCACAAAAGTGTCCCTTTATAATTATACACGTATGAGTTACGCAAGCTAACAACCAGCATAGATAACAAGCTAGCTAGCTAACAGGAGTAGCCAAGTTAGCTGCGTTGTTCCTTGCATGCGATTGGCTGTGGTCTTGTGGGCAAGGATGGGTAGCTGCAGCCCGGGCGAGTGGGTGTGTCGAACGGAGTGGGTGTAAGGCAAGTGAATCAGCTAATTGGGCAGATTTGTTGCCACTCAAGACGTTCGGCGTGGTGATTGGGCTACATGACGAGATAAGCCAGGGACCAGTGCAACGGTGTTGTATCGACATGCCTACCGACTTGATGTGCTTCCTACTAGGTATCACAAAACATACAGTCTACTACTCAATGGGGAGGACATGAACGGCAACAACACTGGGACACAGTGCCCTTCGCTCCCGCTTGACCGCTCCCGCTTGACAGTTGACAGCACCACTGTCCGGCAACAGCGTGGGAAGTAGCTACTGTAGTATCTAAACAGTTTATGACTTTGCTGACGTTTGCAAATGGTGTGTTAGAGGAAGTTGACTCAGCTTGCGGAAGCATCTGGAAAGCATTACTATAGGGGCCCCCTAAAACAGAGGAAGTCTGTTATGTGAAGGCCAGGGATTGGTCTATTCAAATCACGCCATCTTATGTTACATATTAAAATACCATGGTTGGAACAAAGGACGGGGAGAATATAACATATTAGAGATTGGGTCAGTTGTTCTCCAGATGTCTGCAGGAGTCTGTAAATTGACGCTGAAATCTTTGATGTAATAAACCATTATAATCAAGGACAGTGTCAGCGGATTTCTTGTCATCACAGCATAATTAGCATCGTTATCTCGACACTACACTACCTAGTAGCCAATATCAGGGTGACAGTCACAGCGTGGGAAGTAGCTACCTAATAGCCAATATCAGGGCGACAGTCACAGTAAGCACACACATTCAACGCATGAAGCAACAGTACACCCATCGTCAACACTTTTAATTAAAAACAAAACAATCTGCAGTTTTATAACTGAAATTATAAACTGGGTGGTTCGGCCCAGAATGCTGATTGTCTGAAAGATGTGGTATATCAGACCGTATACCACGGGTATGA